AGGACCATTACCCTAGAAGTAGTTCAAAACGGTAGAAGTGGGTCCGGACGGACGGATAAAACACAAACAATAGCACATTTTTTTTAATTCTTAAAAAATGCGCTAAAATTTATATTACAAACTGTTCCGTGTATACTGACTACTGAGCAATTGGGCTCTGCACTCTGCACTGCGGTAAGGAAAAGGAAAAGGTCAACGTGTTTCATTCCTCCGATATCCCGAGGGATAAAGCTAGCATTATGCGAAGCTACGTACGTCTGAGGAAAACCCTCCGACAAATCCCCAGACAGAGCAGTCGGCAGCGGGAATCGAACCCACAATCTCCGGAATAGCAGTCGGCAACGCAAGCACTGCACCACCGGGGCTTCGGTGCACTCTGCACTGTCCGCTCGCAGTATAAATGTAAGCGCGCATCGTTACCATGGAAACCACATACGGCGCGATAGCGTCTGCGGGCTAGCATCAAGAGGATTTCGGGCGGACGATAGAGAGCCCTTCGGACGCGCTTTTACGCGCGCTTCATTCATGCATATAACTGATTGCCCCATTTCTATGTAAATAATTCGGAAATTATATAATTTTTGAAAACAAGATTTATGTTAAATTACTAAACATTTATAAAATGTGAAATATGCGTTACGTTAGTGTTTCTTGCAGGGCGGGCGACGCCCCAGAGCCCCCCTGCAAGAGACGCCACTGAGTAGTTCATTTCATTTAAAAATGGAATGCTTCTGTTGACTTCCCCTATAATATAATCTGTATTTATTTATCAATAATCAATAATGCAAAAGAAGACTCAATATAGTGATAGGTGATAGTGATACTTTTCTAATTATGCTATACTATAGGTATAATAATAACTAAACCTCTCGCCAGGAAAGATTGTCGGTCATAGAACACTTGATCCCGGTCTACAATCTATGTTTTTTTGAAGATGTGAGCGACTTACGGGATAGTATCGTGTCAATGTTGAACAAAAAGAGTTTTCGTTCAACATTGGCACGATCCTATTCCGGAACTCGCTCGCATCTTAAGAAAAACATAGATTGTAAATCGACACGAGGTGTGCTGTGGCCGGCAATCTTTCCTGGCGAGAGTTATAGGTATTTAGATATTGTTAAAAAGTTAAACATTTCTACCCCCAAGAGGATACAAAAGAAAGCACCAAAACCATTGAGTATTTAAACAATGCCAAAACCTTCATACTGATTCTTGACGAAATCTAGTATCGGGAATCTTTAAGCGTGATGAAAAGAATTAATTCAAAATTAGTTTTTGAAATTAAGAAAATCAGGCCATCTAATTTCTTAGTAAATATGTAGATTTTAAAGCGTGATGATACGTAGGTACCTATGCGGATGCCGCTGATCAAAGAAAGATAATTATTATCTTTGCGCTGATGAAAGTGCGGGTTATTTTGCCCAATTCCTTTAAGTAGATATTTATTTTTGTCGAGAAAAGCACGCATGATCTAATATAGATCTCAAGTCGGTGGACGTATAGGTAATCCGGTGAGTGTGTAAAATTATACCTAACCTAGGCGTAGTTTAAATTCACACCAAAAACGAAAACAGCACACCGCTCCCGACTGTGTGGAATAGTGGGAACATACTGCAGTCTTTATTTTTATTTTATTTCATCTGAATAACTTTAGTAGGTACTTTCCCTCTTAAAATACCTATTCCTGAACTTTATTTTACTTTTCATTAAAATTAGTCGGCATTTGCATTATGTACCTATACGATAAGCAAAAACGGGTTTGTAGCTTATGCCGTTGAAATTACCAAATCTATGCATTGATTTAAGTTTCACCGTACACCTGTAACCAATTACGGTGATCAATTAAACATAAGAACATGGGTAGTTGAAAATAATTACAAATTGTAATTTCACCTAGATTCATTGTAAAATGTAGAAAAAGCATTGACAGTTTTAAAACAGGAGCGCCTCACTTCCTATTGGTCGTACACGACCACTATTGCTAATGGAAAGTTAAATTTACAAGAAGTAGTCCCACATTCTTCTCACGCTTGATTTGTATTAATTACGATAATCTACAATCATTTTTTCAATTAAATAACTTAACCGCTTCAATGGCCTGACATTTTGAGAAATATTGCGAACGGTAAATCGGACCTTACATTTATTATTCGCAGTTTAAAAGTTTGGATGGCGCGTAGGAATTCTTGTGTCATACATCAGCCATCTTGTCTTCCACTAAACAAAGCAGTGGTAACAGATCGCAGCGTACCACGGTTGGTAGTGTATGCGTGCGCGACATTTGTGATACTCAATGTGTTATTTTTAGCTTAAAATTAAACAAATTAACAGAAAGATGTGCTGTACTTAGTGTGTGAATTTTATTTTGTGTGAAAAGTGTCATTTGTGTACCCCCATGAGGGTTGTTTTACTAAAATGCGGATTACTAATACGAGAAAGGATTATTTTTGGATTATAGCATCTTCCATACTCTTGTTTCTTAGCGTGATTCAAGAAGCAACAGGTGTGTTTCTTTTACTTATTTAGCTTTGATTTATCTACAATATCTCATTGAGTAATACCTTTTGCGTGGTACGTGAATTTCAAATCTTCACGCGTAAACGAAATTAGTGCATTATAAACCGCATCTCTCATTCAGCTAACGGAAAATTTCCTAAAGCCTTATTTTCCTGAGATACTTTTTATATTCTTTTATGAAAGAAATGACAACGTAGCGAAACTTTACCTATTCGTTAATTTTGTTCCCACGGAAATATATTTCGCTTGATTATTATCTTGGGCAATGTTTATTTAAGTTAGGAAGTTAATGAGAGTGTTTCTAAGTTTATTGTTATTCACTGCATTGATATAAATATTTATAAGTGACGAGATACTTGTTCGTATTTGTTCACGAATGTTATTCTGCTATTGTCCTATGAGTGCCGAATACGAAATTGAAAACGCAGTTGTACCTGTGAAAAAGATTTAAGGGATGGTCTTTCATTTTGCTATGGAAACAAATGTACCGATCTTAAATGAAAAAACCTCTACAAAAACATCCATAATTTGTTATTAACAACTATTTGTTTAAAAGGGAAAATTGTAACAAATCGGCGCCCCGCAGTAGAGAACACTCGTTTACCTATAAAGCTCAAGAATATCTCGCTCGTGATCTCGCTGCACTTGATTTCGTACTTGGAAGATGTCTCATTATTATAGTCATTATTACCATAGTTTAAAAAACAACCGCGAAAACAAATGAATATTGTGTATTACCGACTTTAAAAGTACAGGGTGTTCGTAAATGATATCAGCGAGAGTTAATAACATAACAACCAAACAAATAATTACGCTTCCTACATGACCCCAATGTGGCGCAATAGATTACACTCCTGTGCCAGAGATACATTTTCTTGGTATATTTATGTTGACGATAAGTACAATATTAATGTTGTATGTTTGGTTATAAGTCGGGCTCCCGCAAAAAATGGGCGGCTTGAAAATGTGGAACTTGATTTAGAACGATAATGTAATTATTATGGGTGCAAATCGAGGTGCAAACAAAGTTTTATGTTGATACATCGAGACGATGGGGCAGACAAGATAATAGATTGACGGATTGTAGTATAGTGGGGAATCGAAAACACAAACTGTTGTTTCCGTGTTCACAATCGTACCGACCGCCACAATTTTGCAATATGTCGCAATGTCCGAACTCGGAATCGTTTTTAATCGACTCTTCGATCAAAACACAGTAAGTATTCGAATGGATTTGAATTCATTAAAAAATAACTGACATAATAACGAAGAACTTATGTTATTTAGTTCCTTCAGTAGCCATAAATGAACGAATTCGTGCCTTTTCAAGTAGGTACCAGGTAGAGGTACCACAGTTTCATCCAGTGCTTTCTTTCTTTTTTCTCATCTTCAGATTTCCTTCTTCTTTTCGACAGTCTTTGCCCAAACCCGATCCAGAAGTAATCATTTTCAAATTCCGCCCCTATATTTATCCGTCAAGTTTGTACGAACCATGTGTGAACGTGGAAGTGTGTTCCAACATTGTGTATTGTGTTCCAAGTTCTAAGAATTCAACGTTCGGCGGAATGAGTGCAGGTGGAAGGTGTGCTTTTAGGCATCAGTAATAACGAAAAACAGAAATACCATTGCTTAAAAGACAATGAATTCAACTCAAAAATATGAATTGCGTATAACAGACGTCAGATCCTTCGTGTTCTACAATTCTACACAAGACCACCCAACTCGCCACCCAAGACCAAACACGAGGTGAAGCAATTCCCGAGATTTTTAAGGTCTAAAAATTCCGAGAACAATTTACTGGATTCACGTGTAGTTTCACCAAAAGTTATCAAAAGCCGCGTTAAAATTGTTATACAGGGTGTCCGAAAAGTATTATTTTCTATTTCATTTCACGGCACATGGAATTTTTAATTTAAAAAAAAAGCGCAACGGAAAACAATGTTTTCAATGACAAGAATATCTTTTACCAACTTATTTGATTGATTTACCTATTCCCTTTCCCAAAATAATACCTTTCCAATTTTGAGAAAACCGCGAAAAATTGTGCGTTGATGTATTTCAACAACGTTCAAGAATGCTCATTAATCTAGTCACCCCATAACCGTTTTATGCTTAGTTAGATATTGAAACAAGTGAAGGTACCTCCTCTTCGTTTCTTCATACCCCAGAATAATTCAAAAATTTAAGAATTTTTTTATTTGTTGCGCTTTTGTTTTAAAAAAATTAAAAATTCCATGTGATTAAAAATCAAATACAAAATCTTATTTGAACCATTTTTGGTAAACTGGATAATTACAAAGATATATACGATATTCCATACTTTTCGAACACCCTGTATAAGTCAATTTTGTTAGAGAAGGCACCGTCAAGCGTTAGATTAACGTTGGGCAACGTCATCGCTCATGTGAACTGCTTCATTGTAGTCAATGTATTTGCCCCGAGATTTGCCACTTTAAAAGACGTTCGTGCAGCACTTAAGCCGAATTTATAGTTCCGTAGCCGTAAGAACGGAACCGTAAAATCTTACGTTAACGAAAATAATACGATTATAGCTCGGATTATAGTTACCGTAGTGGCAAGTGATGAGCTTGCGCATTGGCGTGTGTTTCTTTTAATTTTGTTTGAAATGGACGAACTACTTCTTTTCGCTTCAATAATTCTTGTATGTTATGCCCTAAAAAAAAGAGGGAAGCGTAAGCCCAAACTGCTTTGGAGGTTCAAAACAAAACGTATAAATCGCAACAGGCAAATTCATGGGTTCTATAAAACTTATTTTGTAAAAATGAAAGTTGAGGACCTGAGATTCTCACTCAATGAATTCGCAATTGTACGCCAATTGTTGCCTTTTTTGGAGGGATCTTTATAATCCGCTTTTGATTTGTCGTATAAAAAGGAATAGTGTTTAATCACATTAATTAGTAACTATTCAATCATGATAATTCAAAACGCGCGCAATTTGCAAAATAAATAACCGACAAAATGTCAATAATTAAATAAACAAAACGAACGTCAGGCTAAACTCAACTGTTTGAATTATCCGAGTACTGCCGAAGACAAACGCGTTAGCACGATTTACCGTAAGAAATAAGATTTGGGCATTTGCTACGTACCGTAAGTCCGTAACCGTTCTAACGCAACGTTAACGCGAATTATAAATGTTCACAGTCACACGCAACAAGTAGGGTTTAATTCCAAACGTTACGGTACGGCGTTGCGGGTACGGAACTATAATGAGGATTTGGAATTAAAGAAAATCTTTTTTAAACACGTTTTTTATTACTATTGCGGCTATCGATTTCGACCTTATCTGGTCATCTTCAGGCCGAGCGTCATTTGGTGAAGTGATGATGCATGTAATATTTTGACGATGTTATATATTATATTAGTTGTCAGGAATGAAAAATTAAGCGTAATAAAAGTGAGGTTGTATGTAACTTATACACCTACTAATATAATATATATATACACCTTCGGTGTTACCTCAATGTTCAAGATGAGAATTTGATGCATGATAGTGAGGCCACCGTGGGCACGTGTATTTGAATCAAAACATTATCAATATTTACAGACCAATTTTCATTATAGGGAACAGATTCTGAAAAACGACAAACTCAATTATTTGATGTCCGATATGCGGCCTTTATCTGCGTGCTTCCGCCATTTTAGCATTGGAAATCCTTATGCCGAGGCTTGTTTTGTATGGGTATGAATTTACCAGGTTTGCCGAGTAGAAAAAAAGATAGTGGTGTCGCGTCTAGTGTTGATTGTAAGTACCATACTCGACTGCAATCGGTAGATTCAGGAAAAGTTGCGGACACTGTCGATACGGTACTTACTTAACAGTGCGCCGGGGTTTTGTTAATTAATAATAATAATAATTTTTATTATTCTGGCGAGGATCAGCATAATGCTGTTTTTCCTAACCAGCACGAAATAAATGACACACAAAAAAAAACATTAAACTGAAAAATACAGATTGGTTGTACTAAATAATACAGCAGGCAAAGTGAGAAATGGAGCTCGAATTCGCACCTTGCCCGCCTCTCGAGCTGCCTCTCTTTAAGGATTTCGCGAAATGCCTAAACGTGCAAAGGCTTCGTTATTTCCCACAGATTGCGCGTACAGCGTTGCCATTTGATTGTACGACGATTGCGATTTTATATAAGTACATACGAATTTCTTCTCGATCGAACATCAATATGGTTGAAATAAAAATATTGCAAATTACACTAACGTATTGGGTGTTTGAATGCAATTTCAATCTGTACTCCTTCTCTTACGGCTAACCGGTGCGTGGTAAAAGAAATAGAATTAGTACTAAAGAGAATATAATTTTCCACTTAGTATGTTTGCTGGTTTAAAATGGCCAAGAAAAATATGTTAGTAGCTATATTTGTAAACAATATTTGGTTTCAAAAATAAAGCCATGCGTGTAGAATATATCAGATTGGGGAAGGTATACTAACGCGATAGATTTACGTTTGACACCGCTGTACCCGCAATCTGTGGAAAATGCGAGGGAAAATGGCAGAGCATTCTCACTTTGCCTGAATGTTTGGGCATTTTGCGAAATCCCTAAAGAACAGCAGGCAAAGTAAGAACTCGAGCTCCATTTCTCACTTTGCCTGCGGCATTAGTCATTTCGCAAAATGCCTATGGATTTTGCAAAATGTCGGATTTCGCAGTTTGCCGGTAACATATAGGTACACTATACCCTTGACTATACCCAAAATAAGGATGTCTTATCGTGGAGATTTCCGAAACCATAGAATATACGACGATGGTTAAATTAGGGAAAAGTTGCACAATTAAATAGTTACTTACGCTTGCTTATTATCATCCTTTAAAGAAAATAAAAAAATCCGATTACTTCCGAAAATATGTCAGAAAAATCGAAATTTGCCGATTTCTTTTTTATTTTTTTCCGGTCAAATTTGGGCAGATACAGAAAAATAAAAGCACACTTTCTCATTGCCACTTTTTGGC